GGAAAGAGACAGAGACAGCACCCCCGACAGGGCACTCACACTGAGATCAACCTCCAGCCTTAACCAGCCCAAGTCACAGTCAGAGGTGGACAGAGCTGGCAGGGGCACGGAAATCCTAGGATGTGAACCAGGACCTTCCATGTGGGTCCAGTTGCTGCCACTGCACCACTGGGAAGCCTCAAAGGTACCTTGGTTTTTATTTTGCTTAGTTGTTTAGAATTTGCTACCCCCTTTTTTTATTGGAGAGGTTTTTGCTATAGGGTACATGTACTTGCCAGAAAGACAGAGAGACAGAGAGACAGAAAGTGAGAAATCATCCTCCAGGGGGATGGTCACACTGCAATCCCTTCTCTTCCATTCTCCTCTCGGGATCTTGGGCACGCACACACATGCACCTGGCGTGAGTTTAAGCTACCAGGTCCAGGACTCGAACCACAGTTGGCTACATGGGAGTCCAGCGACATAGCCATTATGCTAACTGCCGGTCCTGCCACCCCTTATTTGAAGGCCAGCTCTCCAGCCAGGAGCCTCGTCCTCCTATACCTCGTTGTGTCCTCAGTGATCCAGTGCCCAGAACAAAGGGCACTGGGAAATGTCTGACAGAGGAAGGTGCAGGGACTTGAGTGCTACAGACCAGGGTCTTGTTCCTGCTCCAGGCCATTATACGACCTTGCTGAATAGTTAACTTTGTAGTCGGTTTCTTACCTCTTAAATGGGTGTGATGAAAGCTCCTACCTCCCTAGATTGTCAGGAAGATGAAGTGAAATGAAGCCCAGAGCCAGCCATGCTGAGGGCCCTGTGCAGGGTCCCGGGAGAACACAGCCTTTCTAGAGGAAACCCAGCAATATCAGGTGCCATCGCTCCCTGGCTCCCAAGCCCATATTCTACCAGACCGCGTATAGCCAGGTCTCTTTATGGCTGCTGTAAGCAGTTAAAGATAATTACCAAGCAGGTTCTGGGGACGAAAATCTTGTCGTCACTTCTTTACAACCCTGCTCAAAGAATGCTCTTTAACAATTAACAGGGCCTTGGAGGCAGGCTCTGACTTACTTATCAAGGCAGGAAACAAGCCTCTACCCACTGTCCACCTAGAACTTTCAGTTACAGCAAACCAGGTCCACACCGTGAGCGGACCAATGATATTAATTATTCATAGAACTTAATGTTGGCGTTATCGGACACATCTCTCCTTGAATTCTCAAGTTTCCAGCAAGAAACCTCTTGTGTGAGCTCATCAGCTGCTCCCTGTGTGGAAACCACAGCTCCTACACCACACAGAGGCAAGCAAGCCTCCCTTTCACCAGAATGCCCAAGAACCAGGTGGTTTTCAAAGCTTCGTGCTCCCTCTGGTGGCCATTATGTAAACTGCAACGCCAGATTCCATCCCACTCCTCCCCAGAGCCCACTCCCCTCACCAACAGGAATTGGCCTTGAGGACAGACGGATGACTTCTCACTCTGAATTAAGACTAAGTCACTCTCACACCTGAATTTTATTAAGTTACTTGTAAGAGGAGAGAGGGTAATGGCTATAGATTCTAAAGATAACAGGAATTGCGGTTTTTGCCAAAATGAGGCCACATCCCTACCCTTTGCTGAGGATTTCAAAGCAAACTTGGGCCCAGAGGGGCAGGAGAGCTGAGGGGTGTGTCCAGGTTTGTTTTAGCTGAGCAAGAAAGGGCTTCCTGTGCTAAGAAAACGGATCTGAAGCACCCAGAGTCCCCCAGGGCTGCCAACATTTCTTACATAACCACCTTAATGATTCTGGTTGCAAATTAATCAAAATACACGGAGGTGATTTCCCTGGAAATGCACCAGGGCTGAGAATGAAGGGAAGTTGAGGCTTGGGGCACAAAGCTGGGCTGGAGTCCTGCCAGTCCAAGACAAATGGCAAGTATGGGGTTTGCCTGGGTCCAAAGGTGGGTCCCAGATCATCTGAATATATGGGGGGATCAAAGGGAGACATGGAGGGACCAGCAGTTAGCGTAATGGCTATGTCGCTGGACTCCCATGTAGTCAACCGTGGTTTGAGTCCCGGACCCAGTGCCTTAAACTCACGCCCGGCGCACGTGCATGCGTGCCCAAGATCCCGGGGGGAGAATGGAGGAGAAGGGATTGCGGCGTGGCCATCCCCCATGGGGGGGGTGATTTCTCACTATCTCTCTGTCTTTCTGGCCAGCGCATGCGCTCTATAGCAAAAACCTCTCAAAAAAAAAGGGGGGGGGGAGGCATGGGGAGCAGGGG